GCGCCTCGCTGCAACTGCACGCCACTTTAAATTCGGCGCGAGAAAAAAAAACTACAACAACAATAAAAACAAGGAAAAGGCACAGTAGCGTGTGATTGGCGCTCTTTTATACGACTCGGCCGCGCCTTCCTTGACCTCTGCTGACTCCGGCGTGGGTGAGGTCGTGTTGTATCGCGAAGCGCGGGGGGGGGGGGGGGGGGCACCCCAGACTAGGCCAAGTATCGCGGTCTTGGGAAAAGGCGGAGTGGCGTCGCCGAGTTGAAGCGAATGACGGCGCAGAGCCATTATTGAGGCGACAGGCAGACGGACAGACAGACGGACGACAGACAGACGGACGACAGACAGACAGACGGACGGACGGACAGACAGACAGACAGACAGACAGACAGACCGGGATTATAACGAGCGGGCGGCAGGAGGGCAGCGCCGGGTCGCGACAGGCGGCGCCAGTGAACGAGTGTGGACAGCACACAGTGCAATATTGGTGGGGTCACACGTTCGGTTCGAGTCCTTGTTAGCGACTCTGGAGCTCAAAACGCGTCTAGAGTTTTGACCGCAGCCGGCGTGCCGGTCTTCTGGCCCACTGTGCGACGGTTCATTTGTCGGCCCGCTTTTTGGAGGGTCCTCTGTGATGCTGCCCCGCCCCGCCTGACGCCCACGCCGTCTGCTGGCTGCGCTGCCGGCTGCTGGCATTGCGGTTGACACGTTTCCACACTGTATGAAAAACTGGGCGGGCGGCGCGGCGGGTCACAGACCGCCCGTTCGTCTCTTTTTGTTTGCCGCGTCTTTCAGCGCGTTCCTCGTGGCGGAATTTGAAGCGCAGTAGCAAGGGCTGCTGCAGCGCGTAAAAACTTTGCAAGTTCCGCGCATTGTTGCCAGCGGCGTTAACTTTTTGGGGCTCCGTTTCGTCTTGGCCTACACTGCGAAACGGACCCCCGACGCGCTGTGCATCGCTGGACGCTCATTCGCTCTGTCTCTCTCGCACCCGGGCGGCGTCCCGCACGCGTGCGAGAGAGACAGAAGCCGCTGGAGCAGCTGGGCGTGGGCGGACGCGGAATCGCGATCCAATGATCGGCCGCCGAATTGGAGGCAATTGCGTCTCTGTTGCTTCCTTGTAATCTGTTTTAAATTGGTTGTTATATTGGCCGCCAGCGGGGCGGTGTGGGGCGGGGCGGGGCGGGGCCACGCGGCGTGGAGCTCCCACAGGGTGGCCCGTGCGCCCCACAGCCCCACACAGCAAACACCTTCTCAAAGCGGCGGGGCCCGTGGCGGCCCGTGGCCCGGGCCGGGCGGCTGGGTGCCGTGGGTCAGTCGGTCCCTCGGCCCAGCGCGGCCCTCGGTCGATTGCGCTATGGCCCTCCCTCACAGTGGAGGAGGCCAGTCGCGACGGGCACCTTTGCTTGTCTCACAGTGGGCCAGAAGACCGGTGGAGGTGGCCAAAACTGTGGACGCGTTTTGAGCTCCAGAGTCGCTAAACAGGACTCGAACCGAACGTGTGACCCCTCCAATGGATACCTCGTTCGGAGCAATCCATTGGTGGGGTCACACGTTCGGTTCGAGTCCTGTTTAGCTACTCTGGAGCTAACGCGTCTAGAATTTTGGCCGCCTCCACCGGTCTTCCGGCCCACTGAGCGTCCGATTCGCTCGCCGCTCGACCAAGTCGCCGTGCGCTGAAGACTGATTCTGAAAGTCTCTCTCGCACACGGGACGCCTCATGAGTGCGAGAGAGACAGAGCGACGAATCAGTCTGCTGCCTCGGCCGGTGGAGTGGCACTGTCCAGTGGCACTGGCAGCGAGCGGGCGTTTCGTTGAGGAAAGGAGCAATTTCGGGAGCCCTAGTCCCGTTCGGGCCGAGCCGAGCCGAACCGAAGACTGCACGGTAGCTGTCGCCCTCACACTTCGTCTCGCCGCCACGCCACGCCACGCCACGCCACGCCGCGCCACGGCAGGCCCTGACGGTCAGGCTCTGACCCGGGCGACCCACTCAAGCGCCCTCCAGGCTTCCAGGCCTCCAGGACACCCGCCCCTTGTCCAGGACTTGTCCGGGACCACCCCCTCATTTCCGAGAGCTTCGCCCACACGGACCCTCCCGACCCACGGACGCAACGGCGGACACACTGGCAGGCAGACAGACAGACCGATGATGCATCGGAGCACAGAAATCTCGCATTACAAATGTCCGTTTCTTCGGGCATCTTCCTCCGTCCCTCTCACTCTTCCCCCTCCTCCACCCCCCTCCCCCTCTCTCTCCCTCTCTCTTGGCGCTGTTCCGCCCTCCCGCAGGACCACTCGCACCCTCCTCGGTGACAACAACCCGCTGGGAAATTAGACCGCTGCAGTCGCCGCTACACTGTCTGCTGCTGCTGCAATCACTATGTACAGCAGCTGCTACTGCCCCTGGCAAAGCCGACTCATCCCTTCCAATCCGCCCCGCCGCCCAATTAGTGCATTTCTTTTCCTTTTCCTTCTTCTTCTTCTTCTTCTTCTTCTTCTTCTTCTTCTTCTTCTTCTTCTTCTTCTTCTTCTTCTTCTTCTTCTTCTTCTTCTTCTTCCCCCTCTTCTCCTCTCTTTAATCTCTGCTCTTCATGTAAACGTGCCGTGCCCACGCCAGAGCCCCATCCTCGTGCTCCGCGTGTCGAGGAACGAAACGAAAACATAAAAAGGGCAAAGGCCCGCGCCTTTGAAAAGCGCGCCGCCGCTCTCGCGTTTTCACTCCGATATTGCCACTTGGCTTCTCTCGGCCTGGCTGGCCTGCGGGGATGAGAAATTCATCGGTGCGCGCTGTGCAGCACGTTCACTGTGCAAACTTTTTTTTTTTCATTTTTATTTTTTTTGCTTTTTTTTGTTGTTTGGTAATCTTGGGCCGTCGTTGAATAAATCCCACACACCCGCCGCGCCGGAGCCCTTCAGATTGCACGCACAGCACTGCGAAAATAACGCAGTGCTTCGCCGTCGCCGACGACGAGTGGTATTCTAACGTGTACCTGGAGGGAGGAGGAGTGGGGGAAGGGGTGGGGCTCGATAGTTAAACCGTTTACCGTGTACCCTCAATTACTTGCCCCTCCCCCCCCCTCCCGTTTTCTGTCACCGCTCCACCGTATCCTTGGGGCCCGTCGCACTGCCGGGTCTGCCTGGGCCGGGCCAGAGAGAGAGAGAGAGAGAGAGAGAGAGAGAGAGAGAGAGAGAGAGAGAGAGAGAGAGAGAGGCGTTCGTCGGGTGGCGCGCCGCACTATGGGTCAGAATCAGAAAAACCTTTGCAAAATGTCTACCATGGAAACGATTTGAGTTATCGATGTGAAATTTCAGTGAGGGGGGTTTTGAGGTGCGCTGAATCCATTTCTGGCGTCAATTTGAGTCAGTGGCGTACCCTAGACCCAGTGGCGTAGCCATGAAACACAAATTTTCAGAAATCTTTCCGAATGTTTACTTGCCGAAGTGTTTCCAGGTGCGCTGAAACCATTTCTGGCGTTATTTTGAGTCAGTGGCGTACCCTTGACTCATTGGCGTAGCAGAACAGCATGAAAAGTGGCGATACACATCGGCAACTTTAGCTTGTCCCGTACATTTAAAAATTCTCGAATTACGCCTATGTTTAACCGTTACGGGTTTTGAACCTGGGTCTGGGTCTAAATGAATGTTATTTTCGTCATTAGCAACACCAAAAACATATTAAAGAATGCAAAGATTGATTTTAAAAAAATGGTCCCCCCACCGGGATTTGAACCCGGGTCCAAACCTCTCCGATTTGCTCGAATCTAGCACCGTTGGCTTTTTCTTGTCGCCCCGATTCCAAAAATACCCCTACATGCCATTCTCGCTGCATACTGTGCCTAAATCGGGCGTAAATCCTCTTGACCCTATGTAGACCATGATGCACCTGCTGCACCAACCCCGGGGCTCGGATCGGATTTGCTGCCACGGGGCAGCTCTTAAGGGTCACCCAAGGAGGCTGCATACCAAATTTGGTGAAGATCGGACCACGGGAAGTCCCAAAACGAACGAAAAGACGAACGGACACATAGCACGCATCACACTAAATGTTTACGAATATCGCGCCTTTTGGGCCTCTCGGCGCAAATTGGCGCAAATTCCGCTTGGTGCATTCGAAAGGGGACACTTTAAGCTTTACATCGCGATAAGAATCAGGAGGTTGCAAGAGGTTGGCAAAGTTTGGCAGCCTGTTTTGTGAGAGAAATGTGTAAAAAAATAGACAAATGTGCATGGTCACTTGGTTTTGGCTCTAGCGGCAAAACTATAAACGCTACCTGAAAAATTTTGGTACCAATGGAAAGACGAGGTCTCAAACTACGGGAAACCGTGCTTGTACAATCTTCAAACGAAGTAGCGTCCCGTAGAACGACGCTGAAAGAAGGTACAATTTCTCCGCTCCGCGCTGGGTCGCGCGCCTGCTTCCAAACGGTGGCGACAAAAACGTCGAGCCTGGCGACCAGGTGGGGGATAGAGACGAAATTTTTTCGGCTTTTAGCAGCGTTGACATTCCTCTTTCACACCTACGATCTATTTTTCCACAATTCAGAACTTGACGAATCGTCATATTGCAAAGGTTTTTCCGATTCTGACCCACAGTGCGCCGGGCTGGCGGAGCGCCGTGCTGGGTAGGCAGCCCGCTCGCTGCCGTGTGGGGCGGGCCGGCCCACCCTGCCATTACCATTACCATTAAGGGCTAGACGCGCTCAGTCAGAGCGACGGAGATTTCTGGATCACCGTCAACAGCACCAACGAACACCATGTTTTTTTTTTTAAAGTTAGCCGATTTGAAAATCAGGGGCACAGAAGTTTGCTTCAGAACTCCACGCGGATTATTTTGAAATCCTTGGCCAGAGTCATTTGCTTCATTTTTCCACGTCATTTCTGGTTGTCTTGTGTTCGTCCAGGTGCCACCGCTAGCGTTGCTTAAGGAGGTCTTTCTACCCTTGCGTACAGTGCAGGGCGATGCCCAGAATCGCTTTGGACTCATTTTCCTCGTCTCTCTGTTGCAGCCATGGAGAAGACCTCATCGTCACTCCCTTCGCCCAAATCCTTGCCAGCCTTCGCAGCGTTCGGACCAACTTCCTCTGCCTCACCAATGTACCGCCCGCAAAGTAAGTGCCAGACGAGTCCTGTTCAGCGACTCTGGAGCTCAAAACGCGTCCGGGAGGTTGTCCGCCCCCACCGGTTCGGTCTTCTGGCCCACTGTGCGGGGCCTCCTCTCTGCCGCCCACCTGAAGGCGGAATGGACGCGATAAATCTCTGCGCCCCTATTGGTGGACTGCAGCCCCTATTTTTGGCCGCTCATTTGCCGCCTTGTCCGCCGGGATGGCTGAGGGATGGCGACGGAGACCGGCCGGCGGGGAACTCGCCGCTATTTCGTATTTCCAGACAAAAGTCTTAATTTTTCATTTCCGTCAAGCGGGATTGCCAAGGCGACTGGCGGGGCGGGGCGGGGCGCGCTGCTGACCTGAGGGGGCCGGAGAGAAAATTGTTTCCACCGTCGCGGTCCACAGCAAAATTAAACGGGCCCCCTTTGTTTTTGCAACGAGCAAAAAATCCACGAACTGGTGTGATTTCTTTTACGTTTATTTTGGTGTGAATACATGGCTGCCGTCCTAAGTGCCTTCCCTGCTTCCAGGTCGAGGCGGTCTTCGGGTGCGGCGGGGTCGGCCACACCCCAGCCTAGGGCCTTGCAGCCGGGAGGTAAGCGCTCTCTCTTTAAAATGCGGAGACTCCGCTCCACTGTAAAAAATTCCGTACTTTTGTACGGAAATGGTACAGAAAAATATAGTACGGAGGTACGGAAAAAAAGTACGGAACGTTCCGTAGTTGGCAAGTACGGACGGTCCGGGCAAATTATTGACCAGACATGTTCCGTACTTTTTCCGTACTTTTTTCTCACAGTGTCTCCTCGCCAGATTCATTCACATCGTCTCCCTCTTTTTTCCCTCCCGCAGATGAAGCCTACCTGAAGCTTTCAATCGAAACCATGGAGGAGTTGGATTGGTGCCTGGACCAGCTAGAAACCATTCAGACACACAGATCCGTCTCCGACATGGCTTCGCTAAAGGTGAGTGCCCTCGCCTTTTTATTCGTCGTCGCGACCCTTTTCTCCACGGTACACTGGCAAGGGAAAAAAAGAAACCTTTTCAGAGGGCAAAATGTAGAAACGGTTCCTTTTTAAAAATCCACCGCGCACGCTCACGCGTTGCTATATTCGTTTTGGGGGAAAGCGTTGTCGGCAAGGTTTAGGCGGCCATTAGTTGGCTATCTCGCCGCGTGGTGGTGAGGGCGCCACCATGGCGCCACCATGGCGCTAATGAGACTCGTATTGAGTGCGGCTCGCTGGAATGGCTTTCACCGGGGGGGGAGGGGGGGCATTGTTGTTGACCCTCAAAGGCCATGAACCCATGCATGTGACAGAGACAGAGAGAGAGAGACACCGACACAGTGAGCGAATAGCAAGAGAAGAACTAGAACTACTATATAGCACTCCTCCGCGAGCAGTATGAAAAGTTTCCCGACGGTCAGGAAGTCTATTTCTACTGTACGCGCGGACCCGCGAGTGCATGTGAGGAAGTGAGCCCTGGATATGAGGCCAGAGTCCTGTGTAACGGCTGCCCCCTGGCCGCCCCCATGCGATGCGTTCCGGACCCGCACCGCCCAGTGTACCACACAGTGCGGCACACAGTGTATCAGACAGTGTACCACACTCCCCACAGTGTACCACCCAGTGTAGACGCGATCCCACCTGGTGTGACGTTGGCTGCGCGGGGGCGGTCCGGCTCGCCTTCTCCTCCTTGACAAGGTCGACGTCCTCGACGGGAATTTTTCCCTCCTTTTCTCCTCGTCGCTAAGGGAAGGCCGCCCCCGCGGCGCGGCACCTGGATCCGCCCCCGCGGGCACGGCTTACTTCTTATTTCGCGCCGACACTTTCCAGCCGCTCGCCGCCGGTTACTGGACCCTGATGCAATTTAGCGAGCGCCCCCGGCCCGGCGGCGCAAGGCGGCGCCGCATCGTCTTAGCGCCGCCTCCGCGCAAAGGGTTTCCTTTCCTCGCGATTGCGCGCCGCGGAGCGCTGCAAAGTGGCTCACGCTCACGCTCCCTTCGGAAAGTCTTGTTTTTTCATTTTTGCACGGGTTCGTTCTTCCACCCGATGAGGCCGATGTTACGTGATAAGTGGACGCACTGCACTGCACGGGCCTGTGTGAAAATCCCGAACGCGTTTTGAGCTCCAGAGTCACTAAATGGGACTCGAACCGAACGTGTGATCCCACCAATGGATTGCTTTCCGAACGAGGAATCCATTGGTGGGGTCACACGCTCGCTTCGAGTCCTGTACAGCAACTCTGGAGCTCAAAACGCGTCTAGAGTTTTGATCGCCTGCTGCCCACTGGCGGCAGGGAGCGCCGGCAGGGTAGGCAGCGAGACGCTGGCGGCGCTCGGCCGCCGGATGGGTTGCCTGCCGCCAGGCGCTCCGCGAAGGACTCTCGCAGCGCGCTCTAGAGGGTGGGGCGTTGTGGCGGCAGCGATGGCACGGTGCTGTGCGAGTGCCTTAGTGGGAGCCACTGTAGGAGCCGGGAGCCCTAGAGGGAGCCCTAGAGACCCTTCTGAGTGCCCCAGTGGGAGCCGCTGTAGGAGCTGGGAGCCTTTAGGGAGCCCTAGAGCCCACTCAGAGCCCCATTGCGCGCCTGACGGAGGCTGTCTAGTGCTGCGCGTGGTATCGGGACTCGAACCTCGAGTGGCGCGAGGCACAGGAAAGAGGGGTGGAATCGATTTAGCCGTCCGCGCGAAGGGCTGGCGGCTGCCTGGCGGCTACCGTCCCCGCGGCTGCCCTTCCCCTCCCAGACCCCCCGGTCCTTCCTTGACACCTGCTGCAGCTGCCGCAGCTGCCGCCTCGCCTGCGCCTCGCCGAACCACTTGTTGTGTATCATTGCGGCGAGGCGCACCGCGTCGCACCGCGTCGCTCATCGGCAGGGCTGGCTCTGTCTCTCTCGCTCACCTGAGGCTCGGCCCCCGTGTGCGAGAGAGACAGAGCGACGTCCCGAGGCAGCCTGCTGGAAAACGGCGTGTGCTGCCAACGGCTGCCAACGGCTGCCAACGGCTGCCAAGCCCCCAGAGTCCCGGGCCCGTAGATTGCGTTCGGTCGGACCGCCGCGGAACGCCGGCACAGCGTGGCACGGCGTGGCACAGCGTGGCACAGCCTGGCCAGGGGGAGGGGCGCTGGGCTGGGAAGCAGATTCTCGGAAAGTCGTCGCGCGTCGAGTCCCAGCAATGTTTGATCAAACAGCTAAAGAATTCAGTCGATGGAAGTAACTTGATTTGGTTCCGAAATAATTGACTACGTCCAAGGGCGCCGGGGAAGCAGCAGGCAGCAGCCTGTCTCGCTTCTAATTGGTTCGTCTTTTTCCCTGTAATTTTGTTTTTATTTTCGCTTTTCCAGTGGGGAGGCTGCTGGAGCAGGTGAAGGTGGGGAACTAGGCGCGATGTATTCCAGGCGGCTGATTGCTCTCCGGTTCTTGTTTCGCCCTTCTCCAGGGCCTTGCTCCAGCGGCAGCAGTGGGCCCCGCGGGGCTGGAGGCGATAAAGTGTGGTTTGCCAAGACGGAAAGGGAAAGAGAGAGAGAGAGAGAGAGAGAGAGAGAGAGAGAGAGAGAGAGAGAGAGAGAGAGAGAGAGAGAGAGAGAGAGAGAAGAGGTGGAGGGCGCTGGGGGTGGGACCGCTGGGCTGAATGGGATGCTGGGCCGTGCTTGTCAGTGCGAGAATCATGCAGGCCTCCGTTACGTGACCGTTTTCTCCATCGCGGTGTGCCGGGCCCCGGGCGGCGCACTACTACACCGTAAGGACTTCACCCCGAATAACTGATAATCGGTCCAAGTGGATACCACTAGGCTAACAAGTGACAAGGTAGACCCACCATTTTTTCCCCCCGGTATGTTAGCCTGGGCATGCGCCCCGGCCGGCCCCAGCCCCAGCCGGTGCACGGATTTCTTATTGATGGTGGCAGGCCCGGCCAGACTGGCCGGCCTGGTGACACGGCACGTGCGGGCAGAGGCGGAGGCTCAGCGCGGTGACTAGACCAGGAAAGTCCCCGGGCAGCGCTCGCTCCGTCTCCCTCGCACTCGCGGGGCGCTCTGCGGGGCCCGTAGGGGTGCGAGAGAGACGGCACCATTCGGAAAGAGGCCAGGTGGCGGTCGGTTTGCATCCGCAGCCCCTCCTCGACACAGTGCCAATCTTTGGGGCGGCCTTGAGCTCGCGGCGAGACTTTCCGACACTTAGTTCACTTGCCTTTCCCGCGGAAACCACTCACGACCAAAAACAAACAAATAAAAACGAAAAACAAAATTGCGAAAGGTGTCGTCGTTGTCATCCCCCTGTCGCGTTGATGGATGCCGAGTACTCCACCACTCCGCCCTCCGGTCTGATTGTTTTCCCGGGAATATTGACTGCGACGATGATTAATACCAAGATCTCGCCGGGACGTATTGACCGCCCTTGTCGGAGGAGGGGCGGGGGAGAGAGACAGACAGACAGACAGACAGACAGAGGGGAGGGGCTCGTTTGCTCGTTTCCGGCTTCTGGTTTGGAAATCCAAAATCACGGTGTAGTTGCTAGCAGTCGGCAAAGTTGTTGTTGTCGCCGTAGTTCCCCTCCTCTCTCTTTCTCCCGCCGCTAGGATTCAATTTTTCAAAGAAAACGAACTAAAGGTGGGAGAGAGGGAAAAGATGAGCCCAGGAAGTGAATGGAGCGAAATTGGAAGCCGAGAGATTGGGAGGCGCGGAGGGGAAGTAAACCAACCCTCCGTCTGCCCCCCCCCCCCCCACTTGAGCTAACAGCCGCGCCCCGATTTGGGTTGACGAGCAGAGACACCGACGAGTGTAATTGGCCTATCCCTTCCGCGGCAATCGATCCCCTGCACAGTGGGCCAGAGGACCGGTGGGGGCAGCCGAAGTCCTAGACGCGTTTTGCACTCCAGAGTCGGTAAAACCATCTCCTGGAAAATTGACCAATGTTCCTGGAAACCTCTGGAGATTTCCCTTAGTTCCCGTCGGTACTCTTTTTGCCGTTAAGGTGCGGCCTTTTTAAGAAAAATGGTTGGCGAGCGAGTGCGTGCTGGGTGGCGCGGGCCGGCTGGAACAAACACTAGTGTACCGACACCATAAACGTCAGCGGCCCCAACGACGTGATGGAAGCTTTGCATGTTGCTCATTGGCTGCCAGAGGCCGAGGGGCCGAGGCAAGGGCCGACCCCCTCGTTGACTCGTCTCGTACTGCGCCGCTCGACACGCCTTGTGTTGCTTCTAAGTCCGCGGCATCGCCTCACCAATTGATTTGTTTGGAAGAGTCTGCGCCGGTCTATTTCTGGGTTCCCGCGGCGCCCCGCCACGCCCCACCACGCCCCGCCGCGCCCCGCCGCGACGCTGGAGGCCCCAGAGGCCCCCTAAGAATATCGTCGGATCGGGCACGCGTATAAACTGGCCGCTTTAGTATTCCCGGTAAAGTTCAAGTTTGCGCGTGCGAAAATAGTTGTAGGTTGTAGGGAACGAGGTCAGGAGCAGGGAAACGGGGTCGCAGGGTTTTAGTGAGTCTGCGAGAGGGAGAGAGAGAGAGAGAGAGAGAGAGAGAGAGAGAGAGAGAGAGAGAGTGAGTACGCGCGCGTTTCGGTCATTAGTTCGGCTGCCGCCCACGAGTAGCACCCTCTCCCCCCTCCCGCCCCCTTCCTCTTCTCTCTCTCTCTCTTTTTCGCGCGAGGACACCAGGTGCTCCGGGTGCGGGGCTACAGGTGCATCCGGAGGACGGCTCAAAACGAATCAAGTCCGCTTCTGTTGCCGCGACGAATTTCTCATGATTCGGATTCAGATTTGCGTGCCAATGGTCGCATGGTTAACCTCTTTTTTTCAACTTTTTTTTTCTGTCGGTTCGAAGTTTTGTCCATGGAGGGTTCGGACCGACGACGGGGTCGCGAATTTTTCCACGCTTAGTGGTTGGCCGGGCGGCACGCGCCGTCGACAAGTGCCGACAGCTGCTACTGTGTGTGTGTGTGTGTGTGTGTGTGTGTGAGTGTGTGTGTG